AGGGGTCACAAACCTGGCCGGACCTCAACACTATAGCAGGGGGTGGAAAGAGTAAAAACCAGAACAATATGCTATTTACGAAAGCTCAGAACATACAAGTATAGAAAATACTAGAATTTGTTATTCAATCAGGCATGCATATGGGGATGACATGTTAAATTCACTGGAATGGCTGCTAGTGACGAGAGAATGGGACCGGAGACTGGCCATGAAGAGGAAGAGGATGAACAAACAAAAACCAACAGTGGGTTTGCGCGAACAGAAGATTATATCCCGCTCTTCCCCCCACACTTCCAACCAGCCCTTTGGTTAATCCTTTGTGCTTGGCTCTCGCAACGTTTCCGCAATTCCCCTTCCCGGCACCCCACCACCATCGTGGCAACCCAAATCACATCCACTGGCCTGTCTGCTTCTACTCTTGTTGCCTACAGACCCCCCGCAGAGCCTCCAAACAACGAGCTCCATGTGGCTCCTGCCATCAGAACCTTCCACTGGCTCCCTGTCACACGTCAACAAAATCCAGTCCCTGCCACGGACTTGGAGGCCCTACGTGACTTGCTCCTGCCTCCCTCTCTTGCTCACTTTACCACTTCTGCCCCACTCACTCTGCTCTGGCCCAACCAGCTTCCTTGCTGTTCTTCAAGCACGCCCACACGCTCACACCTCGGGGGCTGTTGCCTGCAAGGACGCTTGGCCCACGATGCCCTCCAGGTGTTCGCACCGTCTCTGCTCACAAGACAGCTCCCTGCCCGCCCCCTGCCCAAAACAGCAACACCTGACACCCCTCTCCCCTCACCCAGCCTCATCACCACTGGCATCTTCTATGCTACTGGCTTGTCCGCCGTCCCTCTCCCACACTAGGAACGGAAGCTCTGTCAAGGCAGAGGCCCCTGTATTGTCGCCTACCGGCCACTGAGCACCCACAGTGCCCGGCACACAGCCCGGGCCCATCTGTTTGTTTGTCGAATAGTTCATTTCATAATTCTACTTACTGCTCCTGAGGTCCAAAGAGAAAACAAAACCAAAATGAAATAAGACAAAATATATTCCGGTCCCTCCAGTAAATTTTAGTTGGCTTTTATTTATCTAGACCATCTACACCAAGTGCCAAAATTCAAAGAAGATTCAGGTATGAGGGGTGTCTGGATGGCTCAGTCAGTGAAGCATCCAACCTTGGCTCAGGTCAC